GAATGAATTTAAGGTGAATGCATGAATTGAGATTTTAGAAATAAAGTAAATATACTCAAAATTTAACGTAAAATGATAAATATCTAGGTATTTAGAACGTTAGATTTCGCCTGTTTCTCATTGCTTCCATTGGCTTAAAATTTTTATAGGAAATTACTTTTTGTCGGAAGAGCGGCATTGGCGGATCCAGTAATTTGGGTTTTCTCCATTTGAACCTATGGAAATGTATCGATTCTTGGAGGGGCCAGGTGCTCCGAGAAGAATCGATTATTTAGCATAGGTTNCGTCTCCTAGAGTGCGCGCACACGGATATGGAATATGATAACCTCATCGCAAGTAAATATTTTTAAAATATATTATCAATATTACCTTGACAATATTGCTGCAATATTGTCAGGGGGGCGGACAACAAACTATTGCAGCAATATTATTTCGATATTGTTAAAATATTGTTAAAATGTTTTCGACAATATTTCAGCAATATTTTTAAAATATTTCCGTGTTGGGCGGGGGTTTAAACGGAGGAATTTCAGTGTTCAGAAGAGGGGCTCGATTGAAGAGCACGTTGAACTCATATTCTCTGGAAATCAGGCTGCCTGACATAAAATTTGGAGCTTGTTAAATAAATATATTTGAACGGACCACATGAGCAGAGTTCCTTGACTCAACGACAATTGGATAATGCCAAAAACGGCCAATTGAACCTATAAAACCAGGGAGTCATTTCTCTCCAGTTTTCTTTCATTTCTTTTCAACCTGTTTTATTTTATTATTCCTCTACACGCCTTGCTGGTTTTTTCTGTAATTTCTTTGACAGCTGCCTAATCCTCCCATCGTTGTCACATCGAACGGTATTTAGGGATACGTATCGCATGGTCTAAGGAATCGGCGGTTTTAGCAATCTAGGGCAACATAGTCAATATTCTCTTCACTTTGAATCACATTTTTGCCGTGATAGTTTTAATCCTCCTCCTTCTCCCTTTGTCTCCAACTGTCAGTTGCCCGAGATAACTTCTTGAGCGTTTGCCACGAAAAATACTTAGGGATATCACACGAGCCCAAGAGCTACATCATCGGACTCCATGATCAATTAGTGGCACATCTTTTGAGGGAAAATATCCCAGCTCCAGCTGAGTGCGCTAAGATAAAAATGGCATCATGATCCATGTTGCGGCCCCTAGCTACAGTCGATATTGAATCAAGGAAAGACCGCAGTAAAACACTCCGCCCGTGGTGCCACTAGGAATTGTAAAATATTCACCAGAAAGGAGTAAACAAAGAAAAGTCACAGAATCGTTTCCTTATTTCATTATTTTTTTTCTAGTGTCAAAGTCAAACGTCTAACTTCTGCTGCATTATAGGAAATCTTAAAAACATTTTAATTTAATTAAATCCTTATTACATATTAATATTTCATGTGAAGAGAGAACTGAGGAAGAGGAGACTTTGTGAAGCTGTCTTTTATAACTTTTAATCATACTAATAGTAAGGAGCTCTATTCCCACCTCCATTCTTCAAGTATGAAAGTTCCCAAGTTTGGAATTCGGAGACAAAGTGGGAATGGGAGGGCAACAAGTGTAGTTGAAATGGACGAGAAAATTTGTGAGAGGGTGGGGGATATCAAGAGGAAAGACCCATCAGGGTATTTCAGGTTACAAATCTCTTTAGTATGACCAACATAACTGGCTGGTAATGGAAAGGTCCCAAATTGTGATCACGGTGGAGGCGCCACTGGTGCCAAGTCGCCAAAAATCAATGGTGTCTGATGATTTTAGTCGAATAACTCGGCTCCATCGTCAAAAAATAATAAATGCAAAAAACTGGACAGCAATAAAGAATTCCAACCGCACACTTCATTTCGGTAAATCGGCTGACCGGTCGCAAATTCGCAGATTTGTTTTTTTTTTTCTTTTTTTACATCGGCTCGAAATTTGATGCAGTTGAACGTACTTGGACTTGTTTTACATCCTGATTAGCATGGTTGTCAGACTAGGCTAAAATCCAGCGTTTTTTATCGAGTTACCAACAAGAATGTAAGTCTCACGGCGCAATTTAGCAACTGAGCCGTTTGCGTCGTAAAATTTGAATGAAATGCGCATAACTCAACGCCAATTTTAAGAGATCATACAACTGATGGTATTTAGTGGGATTGGACATTCAGATGTTGCCTTCATCCAATTCCGAGCTAAATCGGCTTATGTCGAGAGTCGGGAAACTTGAAAAGCTGAGGGCCCAGCAGTAATACTCCAGCAAATATGAACAATGTGCGATTAGTTTTATTATCAGATAGTTGCTTTCGGACCACTCTCGTAATTGCAAACTCGCCCGTATACGTTTTAAATAGCTAACTAAGTAGCCTGTTATGGACAAAATTGCACGGGAAGTACGTTGAGCATTTAAAAATAATCAAAAAATTCACTCCAAAACGCCCAATTTTCTGTATTGTATATTTTCGAATCCACCGCGCGGCCGTTGCTACTTATCCCTCGGTCATTGGTGATCAGGTTTTGCTTAGAAAGAGATAGAACCCCTTTCAGTTCCGAAAATTTTGCACCCCCCCCTCTAATTTTACATCTTAATTATTTTATTCAAAAGGGAAACTCAAAAGGGACTCACCCCCTTAACAAGTTTTTTTTTCCTTTTCCTCTATAAGTGGAAGTTTCTATGACCATATTGCTTTGAGTGGAAAAAAAATGAATACTTAACAGCAGATGGAGTTATACTGAGCGCTGTAAAAGGAAAAGCCAGTGGCAGGCGTGCTTTGCGATATATCGATTTATCTGCAATTTAAACCTATGGAAAAGGATTGATGGACAGGGATTTCGCAACGAACACCTTAACAATCGATTCTTTACCACAGCTTCAAAGAAGGATACATCGATAATCGATCATTCACGCCGCGCCACTAGAAGAAACGGATGGAGGGGCCTCTGGGAGAACTATTATATGCTATTGAACTTTGCGATCGGAAGTGTTCTACTTCAAGTGATTCTTCGGTGCTTGAAACTGAGAATCCAAAACTCCATCTTCACACGCGAAGACCACGATTTAGAGACTTGTTGTTTCAGGGCGCACGGTGGGAAAATATGAAGTTTCGACCGAAAAATTATTTAAAAGATTTTATTCACTCCACAGCGAGAGATGTGGAACAAGAGAACAGCCACTGAAGAGAAAAACACTTGTAACGCGAGGAAAGTGATAAATTACGCTGAATGAATGTCAAGTAATTCTTACGATACGACAGTAAAAATCTCCCTGCGGTGAAAAATTTTGTGCTTGTAACATAAGTAACTAGAGATCGGCCGGTTTAGTAATTGGGAGAAATCTTGGTAATTTTCTTTTTTAGGGTACAACTTTGGACCACGAGCTATGTATTTGAGTGTAAAAAATATTCTTACGAACATTCCCAATGAAATTAGTTATTCATTTTCACATTTACATACGAAAACATGCATGTAAAAAACGTACACGCATACGTGTTTACAATACGCATGTTTACAACGTACACGTACAAATGTAGGGGGGATAATTTCCTCCGGTATTGGAGCCATCCTATCCGTCGAAATGATTGGTTCTTGTAGACAAAGGGAGAAAATGAGGGACTAACTTTAGGGTCTTTTGTGGGTTGCCCTTAGTAATTCTATTGCCTGCCTACTTTGTCCTTTGCAACCACCCGCTTCCACCAATAGAATTCCTCCAAATCCTTTTTGTATTCCTTGTCTACAGCTTTGTCTATCAAATTTAACAATCAGCCCGCTGCTTCCTCCAACAGGATCCCTCCGTGTCCATTTTGTCCTCTCTGTCTGTAGCTTTGTACATCAATATCAATGGTGTGAATTTTAGTCGAGGAAATCGTAATTTTAGACCCACTGCCTGGAGCCCGCGGAAAGAGACCCCCGCTTGGCGGCTGTAACTGATACCGTTCAAAATCCAAATTATGCTAATTTCGGGACCACTCGGTTTACTCGCTCGTTTGCGAGGAACACGTTTACCGCGCGGGTCACCGACGGGCCATCGCGGCAATGGCGACGGGCACTTTCCTAAAACGGCCGTTATGGGTGTATTTCAATAATCGGCGCTATTTATGGCGGGCGGTATATCACACGATCTAGGATCTCCTGGTCCTGGCTCGTCTCCCGCTCCGCGGCCCGCGAGGCCCCGGAACCGGTTCGCCGTGCGCGCCTTCGCCTTTTCGGGTGGCGGGTAATTTCAAATCCACGCATGCGCGCTGCTCTTCGTTGCACCCTCCCCAGATCGCTGAGGAATGGACGGTTTTCAATGCAACTCGACTCGACCGTGCATCCCTGAGACAATATACGGACGACATTTTTTGCAATTCTGATACTGAAAAAAAAGTTACGGACTATATAGACATACCGTCCGTTCCGGGCTCAGAGGCTGAAAGTTCCAGTTGCTGGAGCCGGAGCTTCGATTGCTCCAGGTGCTATGCCCGGAACTTACGGCCTCTGCATGAGCCCGGAACGCGAACAGTATGTCTATATAGCCCATAAGCACGGCTTCTAAGGCCACAGTGGTGTTTTTTTGTTTTTTTTTTTGTTTGTTTGTTTGTTTGTTTTTGTTTGTTTGTTTGTTTGTTTGTTTGTTTGTTTGTTTGTTTGTTTGTTTGTTTGTTTGTTTGTTTTTGTTTGTTTGTTTGTTTGTTTGTTTGTTTTTGTTTGTTTGTTTGTTTGTTTGTTTGTTTGTTTGTTTGTTTGTTTGTTTGTTTGTTTGTTTCAGTGCAACTGCAAAATCTTGCTCATCAGTAAAAGCACTCATTTGCATGTAAACTAATGGTGCATTCACCGTTTGTAAACTGAGCCAAAGCTTGTAGTTCCGAGTGGCACAATGTAGTCCAAATGTGACAGAATCTGTGATAAAGGACCTCATCTTCCAATCATTCAAAAGTGAGTTTTTAGTATACGACTGCACGAAGGAAAACTCATGGAAACACGTATACAATTCAATACAATCATAGATGATAGAGTGTTGTTCAACCTTACCTTTGATAGAATTAGTGTCAGTGTAGGCGAAGAATCCTGAAATCAGAGAATATATAAATATAACGTCATATTTTCAGTCAAGCAAGAAATTCATTTCAACATCGCACGTGAAAATAGTCATAGCAAAGTCAAGCAAAAGTCAAACAAAGCAGCGCTGTCTTCGTTCTATTGTAATTTCAATAGAAACAAAGCCAGTATCCCACAACTGACGACTTATCTATGTAGCCTACGAAGCCAAATAGTCGTATCACCTTCAAAGGTAAAGATCAATCGAGGGAAACAATGGCAATAGGCTCTATTGAACGTTGAACGGTGGCTTCAGCTCACTATCAGTTCGCCTTCAATATCCTGTGTAGGCAACGCGAGCTCCCATGTGATCGAATAGTGGTATCTCTCTCAGACTCACGATTGCATGAGGGGAAAAGTGGGATTAGACTGCATCGAGCGTGGAGCAATGAATCTGGCTCATTGACAGTTTGCCTTCAGTTTTCAGTATAGGCAATACGAGCTACAACGTGGCCGGACAGTGGTGCGTTCCCCTTCCGAGACGATATTATTCTTCAAATGCATGAGAAAATGTGTTCTTATAAATTGCCAAGCATAAATAAAAAAAATGGAGTGCTACTAAGTATACGCATTTTCCTTTTTCTTCTTCTTCCTCTTCTTGGAGGATTTTTTGAATGTTAGCAATGTTTGTTTTGATGCTTACTTCCGCTAAAACTAAATACTTTTGGAGACCAACGGGCTGATTTTTGAAATTGATAGACAAAGCCATAGACAAAGAAGACAAAAAGGATACAGAGGGATCCTGTTGGTGGAAGCAGGTGGTTGCAATGGACAAAGGAAATAGATAATAGACTATCTAATAGCAACCCATGAGAGACCCGATGCTTAGTCCATCATTTTTTCCCTTAGTCTATAAGAATCACCCATTTCAACCAATAAGATAGCTCCATACTTTTTATGTCTTCTTTGTCGATCGCTTTGCCTATCGATTTCAACAATCACACCGCAGTCCTTTCAATTAGAATTGGATGAAAATTTTGAGCCTGAAAAATCTGGCCCTGAATGTTCATCGTCTCAAGAGTATTTAAAATCAAGATGACATGTCTACGCTAATCATCGAATACGAAATTTACAAAGCCACCACGAAGTTGGTTAAAATAAAGTTATCTCTATTCCAACATTAGCCCTCGATTAAATGAGGATAGAGTCAATACCAGAGCCCACGCCGAGATTTTTGTGGTGCTCTCATCGGCGGTGAATGATTATTTGTGGTAAAACAAGGCAAAATCCGGGCGGAACAAACGTCACCATCTGTTGAAGAAGACTCCGATTGAAGCCGAATAATAGCTAGAAAAATCCTGTCTCTGATTAATTATGCATTTGACTCGAAGGCCGCTGACCAACCTGGGAGAGGAACCTATCCGTCGCGTCGAAGATGACCTTATTGTATGAATCGATAGATTACCGCGTACCAGCTCAATCGGTGAAACGAAAACCGCCGTCCACCAAACTGGTTATTGTAATTTTCGAGCACAGAGATTAATCATAGATAAGATCGTGGAATAGTTCCTGGCGACGCGCAACCATTGCGCATGCGCCTTGCAGGAGTATAAAACCGCATTTCGTTTTTTTTTTCTTCTTTTTTTCAGAGCCTATTTTCCGTCTTCTTTTCATGACAATTATGGTCAAAGTCGGAGACTTGCCTGACCTCCGGAGATTTTATACCTTTGCTAGGCGGCAAGAGCTTTGAGCATCAAGTATTTATTAATGACGTGGGATTTGGAGTCAATTTTTCTGATGAGCGGATGCACCTAGAAGTGACGTTGCCAAACTGGTTTTTTCTCGTTCATTTACAGTTCGCTGTGTCTCAAAGTAGCAGTGATCGCGATGAATAGCGATTTTATCGGTTGGTTATCGCGATTATATCGGTGGCAATATATCGAGATATTATCGCATTAAAAATTTATTTAAAAGTTTTCATTGTAAAGTTGTTAAGTTTTAATTGTTTAGTAATTAATTGTAATTTTAAAAGTTGCAATAAAGATAGAAAAATAAATAAAATCAAATTTAATAATTTGAGTAAATAAACTAAACAAAACTAAAATTCAGATGAATCTTACATAAAATCTGTAAATTCTAGTAACTTTTTCAATGACAATTACACCTCACATATAAGCTAAAAGAACTTTGTGATCGCGGTTTTTAGCTATATTAAAATTTTGACCAAATATTTGTAATGTTGACCGCAAGTTTGGGTTCCCCATTCTATGTCAGAATCAGAATTGTCAAATAAAAATTGAGGAGGTCGAGTGAGATATTGTTTTCATAAAAATCTTTTCCTAGTGCTCTTCTGTTATGAAAATCTTAAGAATTTTCAACCCATATGAATGTCGTGCGATAATATATCTTTTGGCTGAGAGAGCAGCAACACAGCAAAGCGCAGTGATTGAGCGGCTTTTTTCTTTTCTCCAAACAGATAGGCGTTTGTTAATCATCGCAGTTCTAGACTTTATTTGAAATATCAAAAATTGAACTCTACACCACCGAGAGGTTTTTTATATTAGTTTGAGACCTACATTCTGGAATTGCTTCTTCGAGCACTCAATTATCGGAGAATGATTCGTGACATTTCGCCGTGGATTACCTAATTAAATGTCCATTTCAAGAAAAAAGGTGGGTGCCGATTTATTTCGGGACCGTCAGGCTTATTGCATTCCTTGGTCGGTGTATGTGATTGTGATAGGACTTCATTTATAGTTCTTTGGATCTGAAACCTATTTTTTATTGTTATTATTTCATTTTCATTAAAATTTAATGCCCAAGTGATCATTCCCTTGCAGCATTGAATTTAACTCTGAGTTTATATGCTTAATTAATTTTTATTGCACTTTTGTGGTTCTATTTTTTTCTTTAAATTTTTGATGAGAAAAATTATGATATTAAAAATGATATGAATGAAAAAATGATGAATGATAAGTTCTACCTTTAAAACTTTCTTCTATGCTTTGAAAAAAGTCATATTATGCCCTAAAAAAATTCCAAGCTTTTGAGCCTAACGTAATCCATAACAAAGAGGAATGAAATTTTGGAAAAATGTACTGAATGGTTCCTGATTTAAATAATAAAACACGGCAGGCACGTTTTTTCATATGGATTTGTCTGTGGTTAATACAGTCTTTAATAAATCACTCTTTGCTCAACGAAAAGTCTATACTGATATTAAACCTAAGTAATTTTATTTAAGAACAGAAATAAGATTTCAAAAATTTGTATGCATAATGTACCATAATTACAGGGCAAGGAATGATGATAGAAATGTAAAAAACGTGCAGAAGGAAGTAGAATATTATCGGAAGAATATTCATCTCACACCTCAGCGGATCCTTTCGGCTCGAGGAGCAAAATTTGTTGCTACAAAATAGACATAAATTAATTTGTGACTGAAGGATTGTTACTATAAGATTGTATTGCGGGCAAGGCTGGCAGAGATGCATGACTTACTTCTTCACTTATTCAATGTGTATTTCCAAGACGTTTTCTCGAATCTATTCATAAGGTATTCTAATCTCACTTTCTATGTACTTGGTTCTATTTTTTTCTTTCATATCACAATCAGTACCATTGCATAGGCGGTCAAATGTATCTCTCTCCTGACCACTAACCGAACTGAGCCACAAATAGCCCTCTTTTTTCAAGGGGACCTGAGCCGATTTTAGAGAAAAACTTCGGTAAAGTATAAAAGATTCAAGCACGTGCTTAGGTCAATCGATTCATCAATCAGGGAGGGCTTTACTTCTCAGAAAAAATGAAAACCCATTCCAAAAACACAATAGATATTGTTCGGATTTTACACAAGATCATCTGAATATTTATCCTGCTGCCAGAGGAGGAATATTTAAAACAGGAGAGGTCAATGTCTCACTCTATTGAGAAGAGCGAGAACGAATCGGGCAAAAAAAGTGACCGGAGCATGTAAATAAAGGTCCAATTTAGGAATAACGCATAGTTGCTGATTTGGTCGAATTTGCCTTATTTACAATGATGAGAATGTGGAATCCAGTAATTTATTTCTGAAAGTTGGCAAAAACCGTTGCCACCCATGTAAGAATTTGTTGGCCTAAAACTGAATTCGAAGCTCGTACGTGGCGCCATCTGGCAACCACCCATGTAACATCGCTCCTCTAGCGTAGGGGCGTATGTAAGTTTCCACCTGAGTTTTGATTCACGAATAAGTCCGTGCTCTCTTGGGCTCATGTATAAATTGAGATATACCCTTAAATCAGAAGAGAGACAATATAACTAAAAATCCATGAGTGGAGAAGTGGTTAATAATGATCATGGGTGATCAACTTCTGATTGATAAAAAGTCGAAAGGGAGATAATACAACTAAACCCGCGAAACTTCAGGCCAATTTATTAGATTTAATAATTTGGCATCATCGCTCCTTCGAATTTTTCGTCGATAAATTTTCCATTGGCACCATCAAACTGAGAGTATAGAGCAGCAACCAAACAAAGCAAAAAATAAAAAAAAATAAGAAAAAATGAAAACATATTAAAAGGAAAAGACATAAATTTGAAAATAAAATAAAATTCATAGTAAATAAATAGTAAACAAATTATATGAGTTTGACAAACTTTAAGGTAGGTGCGAACCTCCATTAAAGGAGAGGAACGACTATGAGCACGACCCTTAATATTTTTAGCTCACTGAATTTTCGTGAGATGACAGAAACAGTCTCATAATTTTACGAACACCTGATGATGCTTACCAAGTTTTGAATTTTCACTTTTCAGTTGACTTCTGCTTCGCTGCTACCCCAATGAAAATAAGTTGAGCAAATTAAGCTATGTGAATTTGTCAATTTGTCAATGTGGCAATAATCGAGTCCATTGCCCCTGTTCTGTTGGAACCTCATCTGCCCAATTGTTTTTGAGGATTCTATTCATTTGAGGAAGGAGGAGAAAGGATCCTTGTGCGGGCGGAGTAGAGAGGGACAGCGAAAAAGCAGGAAAAGTGGATCACCTTG